TTAGAAAAGTTTAAATTAAAACTGCACTGATATACAACTGCACCTCACTAGAATGGCTAAAATTAAAGATTTGCAATATGAGGTATTGATGATGGGACACCTGGGTGGCTCAGTCGGTTAAGCATCTGCCTTCGGCTCAGGTCATGATCCTAGGGTCCTGGGATCGAGTCCTGCATTGGGCTCCTTGCTCAGCGAGGAGCCTGCTTCTCCCTCTCCCTGCCACTCCCACTGCTTGTGCTCACTCTCTCTCTCTCTAATAAATAAATAAAATCTTAAAAAATAATATGAGGTATTGATGAGCATGTGGAGCAACTAAAAGTTTTATATATTGCTAGCACAAGTTCAAAATGGTATGTTTTGAAAAACAGTTTGGCAGTTTCTTAATATAATTTAATACATACTTATCAAATAAACCATCAATCTCTTCCTAGTTATTTATCCATGAGAACATATGATAAATATCAAAACAAAACATATTCAAATATTAATAGACCTTTATTCATAATATCCCCCAAATGATGAATGCATAAACAAGTTGTGCCATATTCACATAGTGGAGCACATCTCAGCCATACAAAAAGAAGAACCCTTGACACACATATAACATGGATAAATCTCAAAAGCAAGATGCAAAGTGAAAAAGGCCAGGCCCTAAAATACTGCATAATTTCAATTAAAGGGAATCATAGAAAAAAATAAAACTAGTGTCAGAAAGTACTTCATTGGTTGCCTGGGTTGGCAGGGAGAGAACTTTTTAGGATGAAGGAAATTTTCCAATCTTGCTGTAGTTCTGGTTACACTGAATTATTTCTTAAGAATTGTTGAATTTTATGTGTAATTTTTACTTCAGTCAAGCTATTAAAAATGGAAATGTGACTCTATTTTAGCAAAGCTCTGAATTGACTAGCCAATCATATTTTGTCTTTTTGTAAGCATGTTCTTAGTGTTGTTTGATAGTTGGTTATTTTCTCTTTCTCTTTTTCTTATAAATAAATAATAGCAAATTGTCATTTCATGAAGTTTTATTATTTATTTTTAAAATCACTGATGTTAAAATTCAGCTAGGTTGGAATTCTCTTATGCCTGAAACTCTAGCTTGGCTTTGGAAGGTAATGTATTTCAGGCAAATGACAAATAATTTACCTCATTTTAATTTTCAGGATTTTCCCCCCTGAGTTCAGTTCTGTTAACCTTTATGATCCTGGCCAAATTTTTGACTTAATTTCTTGACCTTAGCTCGATAATTCTCAAGGTCATTATGTGTCTTATAACATTAATAGCACTTATTTATTGTGCGCTTTTTATGAGCACTTATGTTGAGCACATAATTTATTTATTGAGCACTTATTATGAGGCAGATCCTGTTCTAATGACTTTATACATTTATTTCTTTTAATTCTCACAGCAACACTGTAAAAGGAATGAAATTATTTTTCCCATTTTATAGATGATAAAACTGATACATAGCAACTTCCAAATTCATACAGCTAAGTGAGGAAGCAGAGATTTGACTCTAGGCAGTACAATTTTAGTCTGTTTCCTGAACTGTCAATCTACAAATCCTCTAAAATATGGATCTTAAATTTTAGTTTGGGAGAATCAGTTTACTTAAATTCTGTTCTCAGATTTTTTCCTTGCCCTCATGATTCTTACTTGGTGGGTTTAGGATGAATCCAATAATCTATATGTTTAGCAAGCACTACAGATGGTGGTTTGTTGAACCTGGTTTAAGAAACGCCATTTCTGGGGCATCTGGGTGGCTCAGTCGGTTAAGTATCTGACACTTGGTTTCAGCTCAGGTCGTGATCTCAGGGTTACAAGCCCCGCCTTGGGCTCCATGCTCAGTGTGGAGTCGGCTTGAAATTCTTTCCCCCTCCCTCTCTCCCCCTGGTTGCGCTCGCACGCGCTCTCTCTCAAATAAATAATTAATTAATAAAAAACATTTTCTGTGACTTTAAGATAACTGCTTAACTTTTCTAGGTCTTTGTCATCACCTAGTCAAAGGTGATTTTGTTTTAGGATGGAATGGGATGACAGCTCCTGGCACACAGTAAATTCTCAGAATAAATTAGTTTTTGTGGCTCTTGATGGTAGATGTTACTTCACAGAATTGGTCAACAGTGGCAACTGTTTTCGACCCTATACTTAAGTGAAATGATATTATCCAATAAGCAAAAGGTGTTTCAAAGTGAAAAGACATCTTATTGAATGTAAACACTTTTGTTTTCAATTTGTTTATGTCAGGAATTAGTGTGTTCTGCTCCAGCATATGTTTCTAAAATACCGATGAGCTCATCTGCAATTGGTAAATAGAATTATGTTTGTGTAATGTAGAAGTTGCAAAGTTTTATATGTGATTTATGCCCCCAAGAGAGCAGAATAGTCAGAGTTGAATTATAACCTTGGGCGGGAAAAGAAGGCCCTCCACTTTGATACTAAATAGTCAACAGGAGACCTTTTGGTTTTGTTTTAAGAAAATTTAACTTTTTGAGGAACCTCCGTGCTGTTTTCCAGAGTGGCTGCACCAGCTTGCATTCCCACCAACAGTGTAGGAGGGTTCCCCTTTCTCTGCATCTCCGCCAACATCTGTCGTTTCCTGACTTGTTAATTTTAGGCATTCTGACTGGTGTGAGGTGGTATCTCATGGAGGTTTTGATTTGGATTTCCCTGATGCCGAGTGATGTTGAGCACTTTTTCATGTGTCTGTTGGCCATTTGGATGTCTTCTTTGGAAAAATGTCTGTTCATGTCTTCTGCCCATTTCTTGACTGGATTATTTGTTCTTTGAGTGTTGAGTTTGATAAGCTCTTTATAGATTTTGGATACTAGCCCTTTATCTGATATGTCATTTGCATGGTGATGGGTATTAAAAAAGGCACGTATTGAATGGAGCACTGGGTGTTATAGGCAAACAATGAATCATGGAACACTACATCAAAAACTAATGATGTATGGTGATTAACATAACATAATAAAATTTAAAAAAAAATTTAAAAAAAACCAAATGCCTGTATTTGGGGCTCTGTGGCCAAAGGAACATATATCCCTTAGTCTTATGTGGCTCCTAAATATTTGCCGCTTGCACTGCCCCATGTTCATTTCAGTGGCAAACCTATTGGCTCAGAGTTTGCCTTCCAGTTAGATTTTTCCTACAAATTCTAATTAACATATTGCCAGCACTTCCCATCAATTGTGGAGCGTTTTTGTTGTTGTTTGCTTTGTTTTTTGTTTGTTTGCTTGTTCGTTTTTAAACTCTGGGCTGAGCTGCTTGCTTGGGTGGTCCAAATTATCTTCCAAGGTACCAATATTATTTTTGCTAGTGATCTGTTCCCAAAGTTGCCTGTTTTCAGTGGTCTTCCCAGAACCTGTTTTCCCCACAAGTCCTATTATTTTGGGTATGCCATTTTGTTTACAATGTGGGCATTGCAGGATGCACGTATCTTCTCATATACTTTAAACCCCATTTTAGGAACATGAATATCTCCTGCTTTGCAATATCTTATCTGGAAGGGATGGTGTGTTAATGATTAATGGGATGGTGTGTTAATGGAAGTAAGTAAGTAACTTATTCCTCAGAGTGATCATTTCTTTCTTGCCACCAGTGTTGTGTTTGTTTCTTATTACACCATTGAGTAAATCCCACTTGAGTTACTTTCCTTTTTAAAGTTGGCAAGATTTCTAATTTGTACTTGAATTTCTTCTATGCTTATATCAAAAGAACATATAAATTCAACTTTAGTTATTAGCTTTTATCTGTAAATTACTGCTTCTTACCTAAGACTACATAATAATTTACAGAGCTGGGAATAGTAGACAAACAAAATAATCTCTTTACTATAGAGAGACATTTTCTATAATAATAGTTATGATTCTTATAATTGTTATTATTTATTGAATGTCCATTAAATGCCCACTCATTTTTCTAGGAACTTCACTTGCAAATATTACTAATTCTTAGAATATTTAGTGAATATAACATAGATTTTCTAAATAAAGAAAAAAAGTAAATCTGTGTCTTTTAGAATCAACAAAAGCACAAGGGATATGAAATAAATAAATTTCAATTATTAGGTAATACTGTTGAAATTTCAACACCATCACATAAATATGATATTTATTAAATGATGGAGGAATTTATCCATATACCCATTATCTAAGTGCAATTACTTAAAGACAATGCATGTGTCTCATATGTTTCTTAAAAACTTACCCCTTGCTTTTGTTATGGATCCAGACATGCTTTTACCAGAAATAGAACATAATCCAATTATAGTAAAGTAATTTTATGGATAGAAGCAGCATTGTTCGTAGTCACTGAATATGTATTTGGATATTTAGTAGATTAGGATTTTAATTTGGATGTAAAGAGCTTGAATAACAGCGTTATTTTAAATTGTTTCTATGGTGGTTTTTTAAGTTGCTCCAAATAGTACAGGCTCTTGCTCTTTCTAACCATATGACTTTGGTCAAATTACTTAAATGAATCTGAGTCTTAGTTATCCTTTCTATATAGTGGAGAGAATAAGTGTACCTATTCTTGAGTGGTCCCACTGGTTAAATGTGAAGTAACTGCTGTGTAGTACATTCCACATACATGTTACCTGCAAATATTTTTATCGTTATTGTTATTAAATTGAGAAACAACAATTACTATATATCTAGTGTCTTGCTATCCATATTTACTATATTTTCATAACCTAGGTAGGTATAGTCTGCTGAATGATTTAACAGATTTGCCAGTTGCACTATGGCATGAATTTAACCTGATTTCATGGGATAAAACAGAATGAGCACAGTGGTTCATGGCTGTCAGTAGTGAAAAATAGCTGGAAATCAGACAAACAGCTTCATTGCTGAGATTGTTTCCGGGCTAAAAGTTCTTCCAACAGCTGTTTGTTTTGGCCATTAATCGTGTCCATTCTTATTTTTTTTTTTTTAACTGGGGTAAATACAATTTTCTTTAAAAAGAGAATGTAGGCTGGTTATTTCTGAAGTCAGGAAGAACTCCTGTCCTTCCACTATTGTGGTCTTTTGGCTGCTTTGACAGTTGGACTGAGGACTTTTCCTTTTGTTTCTCTCCACTTTTTTATTCTCAGTGCTCAGACTCAGACTGCTGTAGTGGGAGGAAAAAATAGAACTAGGAGCTCTTTAATCCTAGAGAAGGAGCTTTGTAACAGTTACCTTCAAGAAAAGTTTACTCCCCAAAGGAGTATTTAATATTACATAGACACTGACTCACTGAACAGAGAGAGAGGGGGCGGCTAAGAGGGAGAGAGAGAATGATGAGAATATGAGAATTCGAGCCAGCAAGAAAGACAGAAAGATACTTAACTAAAGATGAGGGGCAGTTTTGCCTCTTCCTGGAAGTTATATTATTAGTTGGGTTTTTTTGTTTTGTTTTTTTGTTTTTTGAATCATGATGACTGCTAGTTTTGTTTAAAGTATTTGTTCTGGAAATACTAAAGTTGGAGTCTACCAGACTGAGGTTAGAAGCATTTTCTTTGGCAGCAAGAAGATACTTTTATAGAAGCCATGCCTGTACTTGGGGTTGCCTCAAAACTGAGACAGCCAGCTGTTGGGTCAAAGCCTGTTCATACTGCTCTTCCGATACCAAATCTTGGCACTACTGGGTCACAGCCCTATTCATCAAGACCTTTGGAACTTACTGAAACAGAGAGCTCAATGCTTTCTTGTCAGCTCACATTAAAATCAACCTGTGAATTTGGAGAGAAGAAACCCCTCCAAGAAAAAGCTAAAGAGACAGAAGACAGTAAGGTTAGTGGCTGAAGGTTACTTGCAGACTTACAGAGCTAAAATGCAGATTTCCTCGTAGGTGGAATATAAAGCATGTTGTAAAATGGGGAGTGGTAGAGGAACACCAGTGTAATAAAGTAAGTAGTTTGTGTAGCTGAAAAGCTAAATATTTAGCTTATGTAAAAGTGTATTGATAATTTATAGTTGTAGCAAAAGTCATTGACAAATTTTTCTGAAAATGCGTGTTTGTTATCACTTAGTACTACTTACTGATGAAGTGCCTAGTCTTAGCACTTTATTACTAATAACCATAACCAGTCACAAATATGAGAAAAAGGGACCTGTTTTTCATGCATATTAAAAGAAGTAAAAGAAGATTTATCTGTAAAAATCCATATGGATGCCATCACTTTTTTTCTAAATGTCATTTGCATTTTAAACACTTTCTGTTTGAATATGTGTTTCTTAGACTGCTTAATTCATTGCACTCTGAACAAAAATGAAATATTATTTTCCTTCATATTGCACATTTGTCTGGATTTTTACTTGTAAATTGAAACCCTACTGTTTTACTTATTACTGACATCTTTTTCAGTCGTTTAATTTATGATATTTTATGAGCAGTGGCTCCTAGCTCTTGGTTTCTAAGCCATACTGCAGTCATTTTCTTGAGATGCGGAGGGCTTGCATGGCCTTTCAGTTGCTGAACTTCGGGGGGATCCATTTGTATCCTGATAAACATCACTTTTTAATGCAGCATTAACTATGATGTCAAGCTTTCCAAAGTCACTGTTCTCACCTCTGGCTTAGGGACTGCTTTGATTTTGCTTTCCCACCCAAATGTAATTTTATTTTTTATTTATTTATTTTTATTATGTTATGCTAACCACTCTACATTACATCATTAGTTTTTGATGTAGTGTTGCATGATTGTTTGCGTATAACACCCAGTGCTCCATGCAGAACGTGCCCTCTTTAATACCCATCACCAGGCTAACCCATCCCCCCACCCTCCTCCCCTCTAGAACCCTCAGTTTGTTTTTCACAGTCCATAGTCTCTCATGGTTCGTCTCCCCCTCTGATAAAAAATAATTTGAGAAAAAACTTCGGATTGAAATCCAATCTACAAGTTAAAAAAAAGCCACCCCTTTTGTCTGAAATGTCTATTCATCTATCTCCTCCACCTGTTCAAATCCTCTAAGGAACAGCCAAATGTAACTTTTTCCCGAAAGTCTTTGCTAGCTACCCCTTACCTTCCTTTCCTCTCTTGTGATTCTTTGGCTGCAGTAATACTTAAAGCACGTTTATTTACATTGTATTTTAATTATCTGGATGATTTATTTCTATTCCCCCTGAATTGAAAATATGCAGATGGCAGGGCCTTATTTATACTGTGATACAGCTACCTTTGCCCGGTGCCTTATACCTCAGAATTAAATCGTAGGTGAATGGATTAATACATGAATGAATGAATGAATGAATGAATGAGGAATTATTCTGACAAAGATTTAGTTAAGTTCATTAGTCTCTTTAGATCATTTAATCTATAAAACAGAGGGCTTGGAGTGCATGATTTTTAAAGTACTTGTAGCTCTAAGCTTATTTTATTCCTTTTGTGTTTTAAGAAAACATTAGAAAATCACACAAGAAAAATCAGTTAAAAAATAATTAATTGTAGGCTTATAGTTCTCAGTCGAATGTAAGCAATTCAGGGTAAAAGAAGGGGAGTATAAATTATCAACAAAAGACTAAAAATAGTTAACTTTATGCAAATAATTAAAAGCAAATGCCACATAGTTCTATTCTAAAGTTCCCTGTACCCACAACCACTTGTTGGGATTAGATGGAAAGAATAGGTAGACCCTTTTTCTCTGCTGACCATGCCTCTCATCTGTAGGTTTAGTCAAACTTCCATTTTGCTAAATGGCCTTGGCCTAAAACTTGTGCACCATAAATACTGTTTGCAGTGGAATTTTGGTTCATCTCTTTGGTTAACAAACATATCAGTCACACATCTGATATTCTTATAAGACTCTGTGGTAAGCAATGTTGTATTTAGGGGATGTTTTTAACATGCCATTTATCAGATTAAGAACTTTTTCAAACAAAGTTAAAGAATGCCTTGTCAGCATTTCACAATATTTTTAAATGTCAAAAAAGTATATTTAAAGATTTTTATAAACTTTGAAAAAATAGAACAGAAGAGAATAGCAGAAATGACCAAGAAAGTTGTATTAGAGATAATCAGATTTGACAGCAAATAGTAGAAAACTCAACGTAACAATAGGATAAACAGCATAGGAATTTATTTCTTTTTTTTAAATTTAAATTCAGTTAATTAACATATACTGTATCACTAGTTTCAGAGGTAGAGTTTAGTGATTCCATCCGCTGCATATAACACCCAGTGCTCATCACATCATGTGCCCTCCTTAATGTCCATCAGCCAGTTACCCCATCCCTCCACCCACCTCCCCTCCAGGAACCCTCAGTTTGTTTCCTAGAGTTAAGAATCTCTTACGGTTTGTCTCCCTCTCTGATTTCGTCTTACTTTCTTTTTCTCTCCCTTCCCCTATGATCCTCTGTCTTGTTTCTTAAATTCCATATATGAGAAAAATCATATGATAATTGTCTTCTCTGATTGACTTATTTCTCTTAGCCTAATACCCTCATATAAAGGATATCTGGAAGTAAGCAGTCCGAAGCTGATAGGGTGGCTTCTTGAAATTGTCAGAGAACCCATTTCTCTCTTTTGCCTGTCAATTTGTGGCATCTGTCTCTCAGTCTTGAATGGATAATTGAGTTTTGTTCAATTAGAAAGACACACCCTGCTTCATTAAGGATTCTTCCACGTCCAATTGGCCTGTTGACAATTCCAAGGCCTATGTAGCCATTCCAGTCTCTAATTGTTGACACCTCTTCTCCTATTGTAGTTCCATCTAGCTACTGTGCTCTAGATGTCTCCTTCCTGGGTGTCCCAAGTTGTTCAGAGTGCTTAGTCTCACTGCCCTTTAACAAATAAATAACATTAGTTCCAGAGTCTATGCCGCATACATTTGGACTCTCCATCACCATGCTTCAAGGACTTATGTTTTTCTCTAGCTTTCTCTTGTTCTGATTTCTTACTTTCCTTAAATTTTCTAATGTCTCTCTTCATATGGTTGGTTTTTCCATTCTTCCTGGGCATTCATCCAAATGAGGAAGAGAGTCACTTTGCTTTGGAAACTTTACTTAAGAATCAAGAGATTAAAGTTAAGAAAGGGGGTTATATTTTTCAGCAAATCACATGCAATTAAGCATTAGACATACTTGTTCATGAAAGTCCCCTGGTCGTACCCATCCCGTTAGCCTTCTTTTTTGATTCCCCAGCCTCGTACCAGCTTGGTTTGCCACCTTGCTTTTCTCTCTCATTTTTACTGTCATTTCAGTTTCTTTCTAGTTCTGGGCTCACTCATCTTTTCCTTCTTTGATTACCCATGCAAACTGAAGATTCTTTACATTATTATAGAAAATAATTTTGAGTACCTACCTTGTTCTTTATAAGAAATTTCTTTTTTTTTTCTCATGACATTTCAAAGAAGACTTTATTATCCACATTTACAGAGAAATAAACTCAGAGTGGGAGACATTCATAAGATCAGATGGTTAACTAGTACCAAAATCCAGAATTTGGATCTAGGTTTGTTCCTACAAAGCTTTTGTTTGTTTGTTTGTTTGTTTTTTATTACATTATACTTTCTCCTCATGATGTAACTGCAGTATTTTTTTCTAGCTATACCCTACCCCCCCAAATCTCACCAGCTCTTAAGAGTCAGTTCAAAAGTCAAAGAAAAGAATAAACAAATTGTTGTGGAGGTTAAAAGGAAGGAAAGTTTGCATCCAGTTAGAGAGGTCTGAAGGAAATTCTTGGAAGAGTAGTGGCCTCCTTGTCCATGTTAATATGGACATTTGTTTCATTTCGTTACTCTACCAGTTTCAAGGACAATTAAGGTAGAGATATGTTCTTAATATTACATTCACAGGGTGTTAGCACTAATGCTTTAAAAACAGAAGATACTTAAAACCTTAAATTGAATATTTTTTAAAAAATATGAAGAGCAATATAGACAAGCAAATATATTGTGTGAATAGTATTGCTGTTGAGGGCAATATTTTTGTCGATTTTAGGGACGAGAGAAATCCTATTTAGATGGAGCATTCAGGAAAGACTTCACCAAGTAATTGATATTCAGTGGGCAGATAGGACTTATAGAGAGGAAAAAAGCATTCATTGGAGGAGAGATTTGCATAGAATGCCCAGTGAGTAAACCATTATAATTTGAGGAGACTGTTTATGGAAAGGAGCAGAGTTAGATCAGATTATACATGGAAGCAGACTTCATTAGATAGACATTGGGGAAGGCTCTTGTGTAAGAATGAGACACAGTTACACTGGCAATGTTATTTAGGAGAAATCAGAGCAGAGAAGGATTAATATTAATGTTTATAGAGGCTTGTTATATGCCTGAAAGTGGGCCAAACACTTTATGGAGTGTCCCATCAGTCCTCACAATAGCCCTATGATATAGGCACTGTTATTATCCTCATTTCATAGATAAAGAAAGTGAGGCAGAGAGAGGTTATATTACTTACCAATATTTCAGTGCTAGAGTGTAGCAGAATAGAGATTCAGTCCAAGGCTGTGTGCCTCCAGAAGACATTACTCTTATCTAATCACACTGCAACAGTGAAGACTTTACTGTGTCAGCAGGAGAGAAGAACTATTGATTGACTTGATTTCTATATAGACTAGTAAGGTTTGTTTTAAATATTTGGTTAACACTGCTGGTGAATTGTAAATAAATCATTGGTGTGCCCAAGTGCTTAGAATTTTCAGAAGACAATTAAGTTGACACATGGTCTCTACTGAATTTTTCAAATAACAGAAATAAATAAAAGAAACCCCATGATAGAATTATAGCAGCAGATGTCAATCGAGTAGATGACTGGCTCTGGCCTCCAGCTGTTTCCTTCTTGGAGAA